GCCCCCCCCCCCCCTTCATCGTTTAAGTATGTGAATCTTGTAAGTATTGACCATGTGGCCGCAGCGCTCGGCCCCCTAGCATGTCCTAGCCGAAGCACTCGGCCCCTAGCCTGTCCAAGTCGCGGCGCTCGGCCCCCTAGCCTGTCCTAGCCGCAGCTCGCTCAACCCAGAAATTGTCTTAACCTAAACTTACTCTAAACTAAAACACAATAACTTATAGTAAAAGGTATCCTATAATATTGATAGGAGGGAGTCCATAAATCGTATATTAGGATGGACCCCTATGATCAGATTGGAAAACTTGTATCCAATATCTATACATCAACCCTTATTAAAAACACCGAACGTTTTAATTTGACTAAATCGTAATCTGAAGTTTCAATAGTCCCCGTTGACTGAAGAACTCTAGTTTTAAGAATTTCAGCCTTAGAGCTTCTTAGAAATTGTTTAATTTGATCACATTTCACATTTTTAACTTCCGGTATTTCTACTTAAAATTTGTCCTCACCTGCTGATCTAAACCGTTCACATGCTGGTTGGGTGCATTACTCATATTACAACAAAAACTTGACAGTCGTTAAACAACTCTCTTCTCTAGGCATATATTTACACTTATATACACTTAGATACACTTTATTTTGACAAGAACTGAAATTTTCCAAGTTTCTGCCGCAATGTACTTTGAGCGAGTGTAAAATAGATGGCGGGCCAGGCGGTAGGGTGGACAGAAATCCTAGATTTCTACCTCGTGAACTCAATATTGAAGACGACTGGAAGCGGGCTAGGGTGAGCTGAAATCTTAAATGTTAATACTTTTGGAATGACGTAATTTTTATGTTTTTGTCCACAATTTCCGTATTGGAGCTTCTAAATTATTCTTGTTGCGTTTAATTATTTTTCTAGTAACATTTTCTACTCCTTTTTGACCATAATTACAAATTTTAGATCACAAATATTTAAATATAAAATATGGTAATTAGTTTATGGAGTAGTTTAAAATGCACAACATGGTTCAATGAGGCAGAATACCTGTAAAAAAATTTAAAGATTATATTTTTTTTATTTAAATTTTTTTTATTTAGCCCTGAATCAATTTATACCTTTTGCGAGTTTGCCGCGGCCATTTGATCTTAACTGTCATGGCGACCTTTGGCAAATTTTGAAGTATTGGTTTTAGTTTTTCTGAACCTTCGTGACCTTAATGTTTTAGAATTCAATTTCAGTAAAGAGTATTAATTTTCAAATGTTTTAGATACTTGACCTATCGAGTGTAGGCATGGGACAAATGTTATCAAATTATTGAAATGTTACCTAATTGCTAAAAATCTTTCATATCACAATTTCGCCGAAAAATTAAAGTTGCTCATATTGTTTTGACTACAAAACATAAAAGTTCCGGAAGGACACGCCGATCACTGTGTGGGGGTGCGCTACGCGATCCGACAAGTATTTTGGAAGTTAAATTTAGGTTAACAAAATATAGTAGTGACAATAAATTCAGGTTAAATTTTTGAAAGTTATTCTTTCGTTGTTTATTTACACGTTGATACTTTTGGATGTAAATTCATTTTTTTATCTTAACAACTTATTCATTATCAAATAATAAATCGACAATAGTATATCTTTTTCTATATAATATAAACTTCTCTCACACGTAGTTCAAGATATTTGTTATTGCAGATAAAATGGCAGGGAGGGGAATGAGGTTGGTAACCTCAGGGTTATTGAGAAACTTCGCCCAGAGATCTGTATTACCCAGGGTAACTTGTGTCAGGTATTAAAAATTGTTAAATTATCAATTTTTATATTGTAAATTTTCAGTGGTATATTCCTAGTATACGATTTTTGGACCCCCCCCCGGAATTAAGTGTCAATAAAAAAGGCACAAAGACACAAGACAGAAAAAAATTACAGGGGTGTCAAAAATTGAATAGATGCTCATTTACAAAATATTTTGTCATTTTCATCTAAAAACCATTTCTTTTCCCCAATTCTCATGATAAAACCCTATATTTGTAAACGATAATATACGTAACTTCTTAGGTAAAAAATGGGTTTTCAAGAAATACACCCTTAAATTAAAGTCGTTTTATTCATATAGTGACCCGACAATATAAGAAGGTGGACCTCTTTTTCATTCAAGATCAGACAGTGATTATAGATGTACTGTTGAAAATCAAACGTTTAACTCTTTTTCATAGGGGAACACAAGATCATAATGCAAGGAACTTTATTTCAGAGGTGTACGCATCTTTTGAACTGCAGAATACTGTCTCTAGGCGGTAATGTAAACACAAGACGGATGTCACAACCTGACATGGGATCCATCTTTCACATAAAAAATTCTGGTCATAGGAAACTATTATGTGAATTATCAAAATTTTCAAAATTCAATCCTTTTATCCTCCTCGGATATTATAGGAACACTGATGCATCTATTCTTGTTTACAAATTACGCCCAGAGAGAACTGGCTTTAATATGTACGCAGAGTATACGCAACTGCTATTTACTTTCCTTGCATTATAAACTTGGGGGGTTCTGATGAAAATTAAAATTATGAGAACAAACTGTTCATAACATAGTAGTTAACGCAAAACAAAAAAGGGGTGCATATTAATCAAATAAATCTTCCTCCCCGGTCCCTTTCTCTTCAAATATGATAAGTTTGCAGCAAATGACTAGCAAATATTGAACAAGACATATGTGTATTAAGGATCTAGTGTTCAACACATGAATTTGAATTCAGGTCAGGGATAGGAGGGGGGAAGGGTGAAGTGTGTATGACAAACTTATGTTTCAGAAAATAAACGTAAGAGGGGAAGACAAAATTTCGCAACTAACATTCATGTCAAACGTTCAGTTTTAATGTAATAAAAATTTACCGATCCATCAGCGCTCTTCTCTGCTAAACCAGCAGCATCCATCAAATCCAGGAGGAAGGATCGTTTATCCTAAACACACCATTATTCAGATTTAGCAAGTATTCAAAACATCAGAAATTAAGATATGACGCTAAAAAAAATAAAAATGTATCGAGAAATAACAATGAAGGATTACGAAAAGAAGTTTAGATCTTTTGAATTAATTGCTAAACGTAGTATTTACGTTTGAACAATACGCTAAACGTACTATTTACACTTGTAATTAGTTTAAAGAAAGTGAAAAGCTTGCAAGTTAAATTTAACATATTAGGTCTAAAAAGTTCACATACAATTAAAAAAAAAATTTTATGTAAAGGGGACAAATAGATTCAATCTTAACAAGTTTAAAATTTAATTGTCTTGTAATGATTTCTCAGGGTATTCAGTTTATCAGTGCACCCGGATGTGAGGGATCATATTGCAACTAGAGAATGTATTTAATGTAAAGGTGGGGTTAGGTATCATTTAAATACATAAATTGGATTCATTAACTCAGATATAACAAAATTATCAATGTTCTGGTCAAGATTACTAAAGGATTTTTTTTTATCATTTTCTGTTAATTTTATCTCCTTTTCTTTCTTGCTCTCACGAAAAAAATCATCTTGTTTATTAAATAAATGTTGAAAAAATCATCTTGTTTATAAAATAGATGTTGAATAAAACCAAACTAACCTGTTCCTCCACCCAAACAATCTTCTGTGTGATGTTCTCGCTGGTGGAGCCGACCCTACCGACCGCTAAGAACACGTAGTCCTTCAGGAAGTCCCTGGCCAGCATCTGGATCTCCTTGGGAAAGGTTGCAGAGAACATAAGAGTTTGACGATTCTCTGGTTTAGGCATGTTATCCTAAAAGATGATTTTGTAATTGTGTAATTGTAATATTTTATCAAAAGTAAAAATATTTATTTATGAACATCCAAAAAAAATCTGCTTTTAAGTTGTGGATTTGGGGCAAAATTATGATTTCGAAAGGGGGAGGGGGGCAAAAATATGAGTCTTACAACACCCCTGGAGAATTGTTATCGAACAACTGCCTTATAGTTGCACCCTACTAATATCTGAAAAAGTGCAAGAAAAAGTCCTCTCCCCCATCTTTAAAGTTCTAATTTTGTGGATGGGTTTTATATAATTAATTTCATGCTAGCCAAATTCGTAGGAAAGAAACAGGTGTATAATGTTTTATGCAATAATCTGATAAGTTTGGAAGTGATCAATATTCTTAACATATGTCTAATGTATAATGATGTGAAGTCCTGCAGAAATCAATATTAAAATACGACGTGCTTACTATTTTGGGTGGCTTACCTTGATTATTTTTTTTTACAGTTTTACGAAAAATCATAAATTTATATCATTAAGATTTGTTTCTTCAAGAATTTATGACAGCACCCAGGATATCCAATATTTTTTTTTATTATCTTTTGAAGTGGAACTTGGAGAAAATATAAGTATTTATATTATTAAAATATCTAGTTAAATATATATATCTTATAAATGACCATGATTAATTTACCTTCTCCACAATTCTACGGATCTGAGGTTCGAACCCCATGTCCAACATTCTATCAGCTTCATCCAGACAAAGATATCTAAATTTTATGTTTTGTAAATATATATGTTATAGGCTCCCAGGGCGCTTCTTAGATTTAGAATTTTAGTTCTTGCTCTTATACCGATTTTTTTTTCGTGGATTTTGAAATGTCGAAATTTTGTAAGGCAATTGTTTTTGTTCGGAATTGTGATCATCCGAAACCCTCTTCCGGGCCATGAAAGTTGTCTCAAAAACGTTGAGCTCAATCAGTTCAGCCGTTTTGGATATAATTTAACAGACACCCAAGTAAAGTATATGTAGAAATGTATGAACGAAATAAGTTGTAGATACGATGATATAATAACGTAATTAAATTTTCATTTTTACACACAAGTGCTTAGGATCCATTTGATGTTGATGCAGATCTGATCCTGCGCTTCCAAGATTTAACCAAAATTTGGCTAATTTTATATAGTTGTTGTTGAGATATTGACAATTGTCCGGATCCAGTAAGCCAAAAAGTTGCGGATTCAAAGATTACGGAATACAGATCATCAAATCTGAATTTATATGTAAAAACAAATATGTACGATTCTTTAAAAATTATATTCTCTATGGCATTAATGACAATCCAATTGATAAAAATATTTGTGCCAGGGAAAGCAGTCCGAAATTGGCTTCCAGCTTTCTATTTTCTCTTGTCCTTCATGGGGAGGGGGGATTGATGGTGGGAGTGGGGTGAACAAGCACATTTTGGTTTATTACATGCAGAATGTTTATTACGTTCAAAATGTTTATTACCTGCAGAATGTTTATTACGTTCAGAATGTTTATTACCTGCAGAATGTTTATTACCTGCAGAATGTTTATTACCTACAGAATGTTTATTACCTGCAGAATTCCAAGGATATTTTCCCCCTCTCTAGGAAATCTACAAGACGACCAGGAGTAGCCACTAGTAGATGACAACCCTTGTCTAAATCTCTCATTTGATCTGCTACATTAGCTCCTCCATATACAACACAGGGTTTCACCTACAAATAATTTTTTGTTAAAAAACTAATTTTAAGTGTTTGATCAAATGGTGAGGAAAAAGACTGAATTATCTTATCATTTCCAATCCTTCCAATGATTTCACAAAAAATGCACCGAAATAAGTTAAAATATCATAAACGTAAAATTTTCATGGCTGTAGCAAGTAATAATAATACTAACCCTGGATCTATAAGCGAACTTTCTCGCTTCATCGTAAATTTGTGTCGCTAATTCTCTTGTAGGAGCGAGCACAAGGGCGAATGGATACTGCTTCCTTCGCCCGTATCCTCCTCCAACATTCCCGCTGAGGCCGGGGGCTGGTCCGTCTTCGAAAATCCTGTTGAGGATTGGAACAAGGAACGCCGCGGTTTTACCGGAACCGGTTTGGGCGCACGCCATCAGATCACGTTTTCCCAGAATCACGGGAATTGAATTTTTCTAAAAATTAAAGAAAGAACATAACTTTTACGCAAATAAACATTTAACTCACATCAGAAACTCAAATCTTCTTCTGAACAACTTTATTCAATACAAATCAAATCAACAATATGTAGAATCATAGAGAGAAAAAACTGTCTCATTCTAACTTCGAAACTCAAATCAACGACACTGTTACGAATTATAAATTTATTAACAAAAACTGTCAAAATAGCTCGAGAAATCGGACTTTATTTTCTTTATGCCCACTTACATGAACATGCAATTTACGTTTATAAATATCAATTGCAAGGAACGATACAAGCTGAATTTGTGTTAAAGGGACAGACCGGCTATTTAAGGTAGTTGAACTGAGTATGAAGTGTTGTGGACAAATTCTTTCAGATTCATTTGAGACAAATAAAACTTCTTGAAGATCTATAAATCATGAGTTTAAGCGCAAAGTCGACGTTAAAAATCGTACTTTTGGGTGGATACGTTTTCAGAATTGTTTTTTTTTAATTATTAAATGACGACAAAACATGTAAACAAAATTCTACAGTAAACTAATTAGTTGTTTAGGAACACGTTGAGAAAATAAAAATTTATTTTATCTTCGAAAATAATTAATCTAGTTCAATTATTAGTTTCTATTTGCGCATTATTCTAGTTTCTCATTATTCCCAAAGATTTACTGCGGATTTTCTGGAACTATTATTCATAAGACAACATTTGAAGAATTTGAAGAAATCTACGAATAAATTCAAAGAAATTAAGAAATTTAATATGATGAGAACTAAATAATCGATTCTAGAATTGATTTACCGACAAATTTCTTTCGAGAAATATGTTCCTAACCATTACTGTACACTTAACTTTATTTTTCGTCGTCGTTATTTAGTAATTTTAAAAAACCGATTCTGAAAAGGTATCCACCCGAAAGTTTGATTATGAACGTCGACTTTCCGCTCAAAATCATGATTTACTGATCTTTAAAAAGGTTTAAGTCTCAAATGAATCCTTAGCTATTGGTCCACAACACTGCATACTCAGTTCAACTAATTTACATAGCCGGTCTGTCCCTTTAAGATCGCGGAACGCGCCTTAAGTCCAATTTACAGAAAAATTTCAACGTACTTTCCTATTAATACGCAGGCGTCTTTTCTGAATAATTTACCTGGACAGGGGTAGGTTTGGTATACTGAGCTAGCTCTATGTTAGCTTGGATAATCGGCGTGAGTGTGACATCTTCAAAGGAATCGATTCCTTTCGGGACATCGTTACCGGTCGCGTCAACAGGGATATCCTCGTAACGGTCGAAGTTAATTCCACTTGGACCATGTCCGGTTCCAAAGAGTTCGAGCTCCAGTCTCTCGTTCCTCGGCAAAGGTTTCGTCCAGTCCTCAGCTTCGTTGCTTCGGCCACGGTCGTCACGACGGGCACCGCCGTTGCTTACCCCGCCACCATATCCACCGTCGCGGCTATTATAACTGTCACGAGGGGGCTCCTTCCAACGGTCGTTGGTCGGCAGCGCACCGTTCCTGTTTCCACCGTCACGGTCACCCCAGTTGCCACCACCGCTATTAAAAAAAAAGGATCACAATTGGGTGGAAAACATACCAAAAAATAAAAATTTACTGTCAAAAGTTTTAAAAGTTAACAGCATGACATGGGTGTGTATACTTGAGAAAATCATAATCCCATCACCCCCCGGAATATAAGTTTTTAATTGGCAAGAGTTTAAACTTCTAGTAAAACCTCATTTTAAATTTACTTTTAGGCAAAACATCTCAATATCCCCACCCCCCCTTGTGTAGTCAATTTTCTTCAAAATATGTACCACGACTTAGAAACTTTCAGACAAAATTTAATCCTTACCCTCGGCTAGGCCCACCACGGTCATCTCGATAGCCGTCGCGACCACTATCTCTAACATATGATCCCCTAGTATCATCCCATACTTTTCCTCCGCTTCCTCCACCGTTCCTGTATCCGCCTCCTCCGCCGCCCCTGCTGTCGTACCTTTCCTCTTGACCTCCGCTCCCCTGCTTACGAGCGTGGGGAGGAACGTATCTGGATGCATACACACGTTACAGAAAGAAAGAAAAAAAATCTAAGCAATGAAGATGTAATTAAGTGTCAATAAAAAAGGCACAAAGACACAAGACAGAAAAAAATTACAGCCAGTTTTAGCATGGTTTTTCATGCTGGAATGGGGAAAAGTGCCATTNCCAGTAAACAACCCTGAGATTAACAAAACTAACGATTGATTATTTGAACGTATGTGTGTATGTTACCCTGACCTTACTTTAGGTCCTGGTCCGTCTCCGCCTCCGGGCTGGCTTAGATCAGCAGACTGCAAAAAAAACATGTGAAATAAATAAATATCATCGAGGACTTTAGTTGGGGATTTCATTTCTTTAACGCACACACTATCAATTTACTTCGATTTCGAATATTTACTTAATAATGAAAGAGTAGGCAGTTGTTTTTCTTACATTAAGGTTAAGGGAATTTAAGAGAAAGCGTCGTCGATAGGACAAGTTAAAAGGCTTACACAAATAAATCCTTAACTTGGAGAAACATTTTTGAGCCTCTAGGATAGACTGGGGGCCGAGCGCCACAACTAGGACAGGTTAAGGGAACGGGCGCTGCGGCAACATGTTCAGCACTTCATTTATGTATATTTTTTTATGAAGGGGGAGGGCAAGAGCTCAACAAACCCATCAAGAAAATTTTCAATATATTAACCGGGGAAAACTGTTGCCGAACTTATTGCTAGATATTGGGTCTGTCCTAGAGAACGATTTTTGAACCCCTCCCTCAATTTTGTACATAACCACTTATTTTTCAGTAAACATATAATTTTAGAGTTAGATTAAGACAATTTGTGGGAAAAGCACTGCGGCTAGGACAAGTTAGGGGGCCGAGCGCCGCGGCTAGGGGGCCAGGCGCTTCGGCCACGTGGCCAATTATTTCCATGTTATATATTTATAAGATCCATGTACAATATTGATAGGAGAAAGGGGGGGAGGGGAATCGTCCTCTAAGAATTTACTCTACGAAGCAAAAAAATAAAGTACTGCACTATAATTTGGTAATTTACGACAAAAATTAAAACGATGAACAATAATGAACCATTCACAAATTATTATTAGAAATTTCCTGGTATACGATTTTTGGACCCCACACCACCACCCTTTCAAATAAAATCAACTGGAGATCTGAAAGGGAACCCTAATCCTTTTATAAAAACAGCAACTTATGTGACTATCCAGCTGGGATTGTGGATGTCTATCTACACCAGGGAGCTGAGCGGGGTTTCGGAATTTTCAAATTAAATCAGACCTTTTAACTTATTATTCATGGGCACGCAACACTCGTCAGAACTAAGCGCTACCACAAAAAATGCTAACGCAAAAAAAACAATAAGAAAAGGCTATTTCATTACAATATTGTAATTACAAACTAGAAGTTTAAAATTAGTTTGATCATTATACCCCCATCTTAAAAACAATCTTTTAAGTATTTTTATCACCGAGTTTAAAATTTCAGGGAAAATGCTCTTTTTATTAATAGGAATTAGCAGTAAAAAGAATAGAATTATTTTATCAAACATCAAACCTTTGTAATGTTCTCTTGCATGTTTCTCAAGACCTCTAATTGCTTCT